TTTTTTTTTTTTTGAAGTGGAGAAAATCGAGGGAGAATCGAGAATTTCGACCAAACTGTAAACGGATGAGATGTGAAACTAAAAATCATATGAATAATTCACCATCAGGGATTAAGAAGAATTGAATGTATTGGGAATAATTAACAGGGATGATAATTTAGCAATTCTGTAATGTTTTAGGAAATTGTAAAAAAAAAAATAGCATTGGCAGAATTGAAAAATAAAAAATCCCAAGGCAACGAATAATATTCTTGAAGTTCATGCTTCATAATCACAATTTTTTTCCAGTAAAGGTGGACGATCTGATTCGGTCGGATTGGAAGAGATGGCTGACTTGTGTGAAGAAGAGAGAGAGAGAGAGAGGATCGTGCGTGAAGAAGAGAGAGAGGGGGGAGAGGAGAGAGACGTAGTTTATGGGAAATTACATGTAAATGGGAAATCAGTTGATGGAAAGTTACCATTTAAATAGGAAATCAGATTTTTAAGCATATATGCAAATAAATTTAACAAAATTAGCTAATTTATAAATAATTATATAGGAGATGTAATTAGGTAATATTTTCAGATTAGTTAAGTGGAGCGTGTAAATTCCTCTTATTTTATATATGGTCTACATCTTATTTTGTATTTTTATGGGCCACTTGTGTTGTTATTTTATTCTATGGTCCACATCTATTTTTTTCTTAGCCCAATATATTTTAAATATTTTGCAATTTATTCTCTCTTTTTAATTTGTCATTTCCTATAGATATTTTTTTCTAGCACTACATTCTGTTCGAATTGTAATTCCTACTATATCTTTATTATTGAAAATACTAGAAAACTCTCGCTGTGCACAGCACAGCCGGCCCAATTTTGACCTAATTCAATTTTTGCATAAATGCGGTTATGATTGGTTAATATTTGGCTCCAATATATGTGGAAGACCAAATTTATACAAACACAAATATATTTTCTTCATTTTTCTTTAGTTGGAATTAAAGTAATTCCAAACATGCTTCAAGTTTGCTAGTACTAATTACAAAAGATAGTAATATTATCAGTCACAAGCCACAAGCTCGTCTAAAGATTTTTAAGTCTCAAGATTTTTAAGTTTATCATTGCTAATTGCAAAAGATAGTAAAAAGATGAGTGACCTGCGTGATTTGGCATGGGTAATGTTTTGCACATAGAATTTTGAAACATCTATATATAGATGCTTGAAATTTGGTACAACAAATAAACAAAATATAAATGGCTAAGCTTATACATAGCAGGCCTGTGAATCCAAAAGTAATTTATAACAATCTTGTTCATTCAAAAGTGGTAGGCATAACATGTAAGGGTGCATCAGTGTAGGTCTGCTGCGGGGCGATTCTTTTTCTGAGAACTTCGGTTCAAATTTTTCCAAGGTGGTTTTGGATGTTGGTGCGGTGCTTGCCTCGCTTTCAAAGCTGAGTTGTTTTTTGGCTGCTGAGGCGGAAGCCCCTGGGTTGATGTTCTTTCCAATTTCACTTGCAATTGACTGTAGAATGCCTTGTCTTTTGTTGTGGGCTAAAAAAACTGTTTTTCCACAACCTGCCATATTAAATAGATTGAGATAGATGTTAATATATAAGAAGAATTGTTTTAACATACAACTCATCTTGTTTTATTGACTGAACTACCTTTGTTGACACTGACGGAGCTTTTTCTTTTTCAACAGACTTGGATCGAGTTGCATTTTTGAAGGCAGTGATGTCGTTGTCTTAGTAGAGCTTTAAGACAGTCTGGTAATCTGATTGATAGTGCTTGATGAAACAAGTAACATTGTGTTTCTTGAATGAGTTTGCAATATGAATGGTTGTGGCAAGCGGAGATCAATTACTTTATTGTGAACTACATGCTGGAATAGAAATACGTGTGGTTAAATATTTATAAAAGATCATATAAAACTTTAATTTTTACTGACCTGCTTCATATAACTGAATTCCGTTTAAAGATATTATCTTCTCAGCATCAAAACCATAAATCAGTGCATTCTTATTGCCAGTTTCATGGACTGTAATGGTTAGCCTGCATCTGATTTTTAAAAGATGTGTCAAACAATCTTCATTTTATGGGAGTTTTCCTCATAACCAAACATTTAATGTTACGTTTCGTTACTTTTACCTTGCTTCAAGGAGGAATCTTCCTGGAAACTGTGACACCTCATTGTTGTGTTTGGGTGTACGTTATAGTTTTTTTGGCAATTCCTACAGGCACCTGACCACAAGGATTTCTTGTCGCTAACAAAGTTGATCTGACCACAGACCCAAAAAAGATTTTAGTTGTGTTTATAGTTTTAATGTAGTTTAGTTTTTGGCATTTCTCAAAAGCACTATATTAAATAAATATAATGTTAAGTAATACGTATTTATATTAACATGTTTTATTGTTACAGTTGAAGTTTCATTATGTAAAAGAAAATGATAGTCATAACCTCATACAATATGTTTTAATGTCATAGATGAAGATATTTGTTGAATTATGGTTGCTGATAACTATGAGCATTCAATGAACATTGCAATAATCCAAACAAATAGGACATGAGTGAATTTAAGACGTAGACGACACTTTCAATTCTTAACATTATAAGGGGAAAGAACACCACCACCATTCAGGTAAATTTGTTTTATTCCTGGTCTCCATCCTCAGTACCTAGTACCTTTTACCTTTTCCAGTGAAAAATGGTACATTGGAAAGTTTTCAGATTTCCCAAAAGAAATTTGATGTTAAACGATAATGTGATTATTATAAAATTCATGCTAAAATAAATGACACAGGATTGGTTATAGAGGTTTTCATTGTTTTCTCATCTTTTTTAAATGCCAGGATTGCTTACCTGTGTGCAGGTTCGTTAGAAGATGTGACCTCATGTTTGGATGACATATTGGATTTAAATACAGGGCCCGCAGGAAGCTCGGTTTTTTGGCTTTCCATGACTTCCTGAGGTCACATTTTTAAGAAAACAATAAATCTCTAAGAAGTTTGTGATACAACAAACGCATAAAATTTGTAGCCAAGATTGTCTTGAGTAATGTATATACCTTCACGAGAGCCATGAATGCTTCTGAATCGTGGTTGATCGAGAACCGTGAGCAAATTTCTGCATGTGCAAAAGAAGCATAAACCCCAGTTTTAAGATAGTTGAAGAATTACGTTCCAGGTGGTGCTGCAAGATTCATTATGGATATTGCTATATCAGCTAGTCAAAAGCAACTCGTCTTGTTACATTACCAGATCAAGTTGAAGTATAGTTTCGACACAACAGAAGAGTGCCAGAAGCCTAAGCATAATAAAAAAAAAAAAACTTAAGACAGAGAAATTAGAAAAACTCTACAGCTATATTTCCATGATGATCTTCATAAGCATACTGTCCCTTAAATTTCAAAACCAGTTTTGATGTTTCCAAGTTAATACTAAAAAGGGCCATTAAGTGAACTGTTTCTCCATCTAAAACAACTATAATCATCTCAAAAAATGCGTTTTCGGTAAATGTAGGACCTATTATTTTCTGTACTCCAAATAAACCTCGTATTTAGAGGAATGTTTATCTGTTCTCCAATTCCCACCCTTAATATATCCATCTCCTATCACAAAATTGCACGTTTCTCTGAAAAAACACAAGAAAATAACAAAGGACATTAATGTATTCAAGTATATGCTTGCCTGGCCAACACCATCTTTATAGCTCAGAAAAAACACTCCTGCTCCCCCGTGCAGGAAACCCGGATATGCACGGTACTTGAGGCCAGGAGAAATTCATCTTGGTCACATAGTGCTCGTCCTGTAAAATCCATCAGAAAATGCATATGATATCCATAAAAATACTTAAAAATAAAAAACACTGATATGAATGAAAAGCCAAGAGACACACTTATAAGCATATCCTTAGCATGACAGTGCACCATCAAAATTCTACCTAAATCACTAAAAGTAAATGATTTGTTTAATCGAACAATGCTATTTCTTTTACAGCAGACGGAAAAAAACTAAAACCTCAGTCCAAACATGCAACACAGATGCCTGAAATCGGCTTAAAAAAGATTCAAGAATCGCTTTGCTAAACTCAAAAACTCACAGCAAATAGGATTGTAGCCACCTCAGCCTCCACCTTCCGGATGAGCAGGCCCTTGGTCACATCTCTTTTGTACACCAAGTTCTTGTCACTTCATCATTCCTCGTGTGCGGCCTGTAGTAATTGAGCGAACCCAGCAACATCCACAAACTCGAGTAAGGCCATTAGCCGCAGGAACCCTAATAATTTAACCTAAATTGTATAAGCATTAAAATTA